CTTCATTCATTATTATTAATCTTACTATAAATCTTTTTTCGATATTTCATATTTTTCCAGTGAAGATAATGCAAATGAAATGAATGCCTTTCGAGATCAATTATGTATAGCTGTACCACAATTAACAGGATATCATTTATCTAATTTAATAAAAGCTGTAGATCATTTGGAAATATTAGCTAGTAGAAATTTAAATGAATCATATTGTCCAACTGATCCTGTTGAAAAAAGACATCCAGAGTTAGGTGGATATTTAAAGGTAAGATAATGTTCAGTCCTCACATTACAACTTGTAATATTTTCTTTTTTTGTCAGAAATACCTCATTGTCAGAACTGTTAACTTTATATCTCACTTCTGATATATAAGTCACTGATAGATCACTTAAAATTTTAAATTTCTTTTCTGCTCTCTGAGCGTTTATCCGTTTAGAACTATTCCTTTTTCTCCTGAAGTTATGTTCATTATCGGATATATCTTATTTATTAATTTGTTTATTTTAACATATAGATATTGGTACGAGGAGGCACCAAATACATATGCGCCACACAAATCTCATTTGATATGTGTGAGGGCTGTGATTCTGCCCTGGTACCCAGACCGAAGCAGGTGGTTTTCTTAGGGGACCAAACTCGGAGCCTTCGACACAAAGTTCTAGTCCACAAGGCAGTGGAGCATCGTAAGGAGATGTAGTCCCGTGGTAGCCGGTGACCAATAATTAGTTCATACTCCATTTGTTCCCTCAGGGTACTGGAGCCCATGTGCACCATTGGTTTAGAATCAGGGTTTTCCAACTCCCCTAAATAGACTCTCCATGTCCACCAACCCGGTTAAAGCGCCGGACATTGGTTTTTCGTCCTCTCAATTGCGTAAACAATAGTAATGCCGTGAGAAGTCAGTGAGTAGGACTTGCCTGGTAGAGGCTATATACGCGTGGCCATGTGAGAGCATTTCGAGAGGGAGAGCGGACTATCCCCACTCTCGGCCGTACCAGGGCATTTGGGGGTATCGGATATATCTGAATGTTAGTTTCAATTTAGATTAGTAATAACAGACGAACTCCAACCAGATAATTTATTAGTTCTATGCGAACAATAACATAGTATACTTTTTTATACTGATGTAAGATAATGTCATTCTCTGTTGCTTAACTCAGGTATTTTACTGACGCTTTTCCTAGGTATATATATATATATATATATATATATATATATATATATATATATAAACTTTGTAAGCTAAGAGAGGTTCTGATCAGTTAGTTTTTTCTTTGACATATTTGTTTGCTTTTTATCTCATTCTCTTTTAATCATCTTCGTATTTTTCTATTTTTCAAGCATGCTGGTCAACGTTTAATGGAATTGGAAACTTGTTTAGAACATAGTCGTGAAGCTGCCAGTATTCTTATCTATTTTGAATATGAATCTCAATTTTGGTCGACATCACTAACATCATTAACAAGTAAAAATAACTCCAATCACGAAGCTTTACATAAACGTGGTCTTCTTTTACAGTCTAAATTTAAAAATTCTCCAATAGCTATTAAACTTCATACAGCATGGGTGAAATTAACACAATTAGGTGACCGTCTTGGCCGAATACAGGCTGGGTAAGTTTTGAGAGAAAACATAGTGAAATGTATTATGTTTTTGCTAAAACTGTAATACATAATACCGCTGAAAATTAGTGGTTGGTCAAACCTTCATTTATGTTGTTTAGATGTAAGATAACAACATAAATCAATCAGAAGTTTTCCTTTGTTAAGTCAGATTGATCTTAATATTTTTCACAATTGTGATCATGTTAATGTGTCGAAAGTCTTCCTAGATGAATTTAGTTCATGAACCAAAATTTTTAGTTCACTACAAGTAACTTGTTTATATTACATCTGTAAGAAATACTGATAGACTTCTCGAATTTAATGCATATATATATATATATATATATATATATATATATATAAACTGTTAAAGTGACGTCATTTTTTTGTAATACAGGTTACCTGTTCGTCCATCTGAGACAAATGGAGTAGAGCATTGGGTAAGTAGAACTGATTTAATTCATTATGTTTCTGACATATATTAAAGTCACTCTAGAACAATATACTTGTATTTCTTCATAGATTTATATCAAGTTTTAAATTAAATGAACTAGTCAAACAAGTTATTATAGTCAAGGTAATGATTCTTAAAATTAATAGTTTAATGTATAAATGACACATAATAGTTAGGTTAAATTTAGTTATGAAATTTCAATATTTTTTAATTGAAAAGTGAAAAAATCGTTAGAACACAATGTATTGTAGTTTGGTTGGAAATATTATTGTTGTTTTCAAGGATTATATGCCATTTTAATGGTTGAGACCATGAGTCAATTGAAGCTAGACTACCATGCGAAAGATGGAAGCACCGGATGGTCGTTTCGTCCTATTGTGGGGCTCCTCAACAGTGCACATACACGATCCCGCCTCGCGAGATTTGAAACCAGGATCTATCAATCTCGCGCGCGAGTGCTTAATCACTAGATCACTGAGCCGGTCGGCATCCAATTGTGTTAATGTCTAACTTCCGCCAACGCACGAAATTGAACGACATATCCACCATTGTCTTCAGTGAGTTACTATCTCACAACAGACTCGGTTGAACTTCACTGGTCACTGCTTCTTACTAGAACTCCGAGAAATACGTTTTGAAGCCAGTCACTAACGAGCATATATTGATTAATATCAAAAGGGGTTTTTATGGATATTATGGTAATTTTAATAGTTGAGACCATGGGGGATTAAAGCCAATTACCACAAAAATATAAATAAGTTTTATTGAAATGTTCTCGTTTTAAATATTTCTCTAATAGTATTCTTAAACTCTTTACTTTTCAAAAGACAGTTTAGATAAAATATATGCTAAGGAATTTGTATGTTTTAGATTAACATTATACTGTGAAGTAAATTGCAACTATAGATTACACTAAATACTGTACATTTTTTCATCTCATTTGATTTATCATCCAATATCTTGAATAATTCATTGTTTTATGGAATCAAGAGAGAAAAGGCTAAAATTATATGTCTTTAACATGAAACCGATTATCATACGCTAAGAACATAAAAGCAATGAAGTTTATAGTATCATAGGAACTCTACCATATTCAACATGTTATATAACATCTGCTTACTATTCAACGCACCTGTTTTTTAGTTCAATAGTTTAGTTAGTTTCATTTTTAAATAAAACTGATATAAATTTATCATACCGAATTAACTATTAGTTGAAATTCATACTTTATACATGTTCATGAAGGAAACTCATACTCCTCCATCGTCAGTGAGATGTCTTTAAACCTCCTTACCAAAAGACTATTACTTTTGTTATCGTCATTAATATATTATCTTTCTCCATTTCTACAGCATCATTTATCTCCAACACAAACTCAATCACATCTTTCAACTGAACTCCGAACAAAATTAATGAAAAGTGAAACGAAAAGAATTTCTAAATGCAAAAAAGATGATTCGGACGTATTAACAACAGAATTTCCTTACGTTAGTGCTGATACGTTACGTCGCAAACAAACTAATCTAAGAGATGCATTAGGATCACATATGTGCGTTCATCCTGATTGCAAAATTTCAACAGGGGAATGCTTATCACCTCATACTCAACACAATGAAAGTCAGGTATGTTTTTAGTATGCCCACATTTTCTTGGTGTTCTGATGTCTACATCTGTCGTGCTACACTATATTATCAGTGTCCTGATTTAAGTCACATGATTTTTGCACATATCCATTGTTGGAATAGTAAAGCGAAACTTGTTCTTATTCTTCTGTCTGGTACAAAAAGACGAAACTTTAGCTTGAACTATCCACGTCTTAAATTACCTCCTACTAAAAATCTCGGATTTTGAGTATCTGTTTTGTAATGATAGGCTTAAAGGTGTTGAAAACTAATAATTTATTGAAAGAATGTCGACGTGCGAAAGAGAAGAAATATGTTAAGAGTGAAATAACAATTTTCACTTAAGATTTGTAAGGTTAGAAGAGGTACAAAGGGCAGTTTAGGAGAAGCTATTAAATATGACGCTTTTGTATAAGGAAATAAGGTTTAAATTACCGAATTACCGTATACAATTAATTCCTAATCCGAACATTCTTTGAACCAGTTCTTTTGACTTTGTAGATACTTTTGAACTATTATTCTCACGACTGGAGCTGACTGTGTGTTCAAAGACTGGGCTATTAATTAACTTGAATTTCTGTTTTGGATTAGTATACGGTTCATTTGGTCATTTTAGTATGTTAGGTAACTTATGCTCTCATTGAAACCGGCACTGTTAGATTTTACTAAGTCTTTTCATCAAAATATAGTGTACTCATCATAATAATTATCAGCTTCAGCGAATGGCCACATTGTCGTCAATACTGACAATAATATTCGTAACCTGTGCTGTAGGTATTTATCATAATTCCGAAATTTAGTCAATCCTAGTGTCAGAGACAACATAATCTGTTTATTGTTCGTTGACCGAATAATTTTTATACCACTCTCTGTTCTTTTTTGGATTTTAATTTCATTGATCTGTTTGATCATAAAGAAAATTCTTTATGTAAGTATCAAGGAATCTTCAGTGCGTTGTATGGATGTTAAAAAAATTGTGTTATGTGACATCATATGCATTTGGATTTCACTCGCTAAAAGTTAGCATTACAATTTTTAATTCCAAATACAATACAAAGTATTTATGCTTATCTGCTATGACACACGTTTCTTGTAAATTGATACATCGACTATATCCATCCCGTTTTGCTTAAATAAAGTTAGACTACTTAAAATGTATCAGTAGTGTGTGGTATCAAGTTAATATTAAGGTCATATCTCTGACCATTTGTATTGGCTTTATGTGCATCGTACAGACCTTTTGGTGGAGTTTTGTCCTCTGAGCTGGATGGTTTGGTCGTGGAGCTTTCATCGTTCTTCTGAACGACATCATCAGACCTGATTAAATGTAACTTTGTATACTTTCATAACTGATAGGTATAAGTTAATCATACTAACATAGGCTTTTATCATTAAAGTGTTGTGGAAATGGTTGCATTTTAGTGTGATCACTAACGGACCGAAGTCAAACAACCAATAATAATAACCTGGGGTAGCACTGGACAACCTTTTCATCATAATATGGATCTCCTCAGCAGTAATCACCTACAACTTCACTGCCCGCTCAATATCGTAGACTGATTTCAGGACGAAATGCCCAGCCAGTACTTTTGTAGTGGCTGTGCTTCGTTAATTAATCACCCTCGAACCGTTATCGTATAATCTTCAATGATGTTTGCAATCAGAAGGCAAATAGAAGCAGCTACTACAGTTTATTAGTAGATAATTCGGACCAGACAGCAGAGAGGCAAAATGAATGAGCAAGCGAACTACGATTGTAGCAGTAGCAAGTAGTTGTAGTAGTTGTAGTAGTAGTAGTAGTGAATGGGTGCAAATGTACACATATATATATATATATATATATATATATATATATATATATATATGTATAGGAAAATGGATGAGTCAGCGAATAGATTAAGCAGTTAATAATGAAGCAAGTAGAATGAATACATGCGTAGGCGCTAAACAATGTTCAAGCATATGTATTTCATACAAGCATAATAATAAAGATAGTACAACAAGTTATATCATGGATGACTTTGTCCATTAAATAGGTCAACAAAAGACCTTGACTGAACTAAACTCAATTGCACGTGAGTCACTATACTTTCAGGTTCCTAATGGTTGTCTGACTTAGACTATTTTATAATTTCAATAAGTTTTTCGACTTTGTCTATCTGTATGTATTTATTCTATCACTTTACAAAATTTATTTTCAGCTTTCAATCCTTTGAATTAATTTTGTTGACCATTATCTAGTCAGTTTAATTAATTTCTTAAGTTTGCTCATTTCTTTCGATAAATAAACAATCCATGTAAATTTAAGTTTATACCGTTATCTGTTTATTGACTTAGAATACAAAGATGACATAGTTCTGTTTGATGAAGACGCTGATAAAATGCAGAGTCTTTTGGTAGCACTGAGCAACAATACCACGATGTTTAGAATGCGTTTTTCCTCCTCTAGGTGCAAATTGTTGCTTCAGGACTGGGCTGTGTCAACACCTGAACTAAGGATAGGGAGTGAAGTAGTCAATCGCGCAGACAACTTCACTTGTCTTAGGAGTTTGATCAGTCTCAATGAGTTGATGTCTGACGAAATCTCTGCACGGATTCAAAAAGCTCGTTTGTCTCTTACCAACTACGGCGAAGGCGAGATATCCGTCTATCAGTTAAAGGACGAGTATACTGTGCGGCAGTCCGTTCTGTTCTCTTTTACAGCTTCGAAAAGTGGCCATTAAGGGTAGAAGAAACTCGTAAGTTACTAATATCTGATCACAGATCTCTGAGAAATACTGCTCGCATCTGCTGGGATCACCAGATAGGTAATGGTGAGATTAGACGCAGGGTATTAAGGAATGATGGTAAATCAGTTGATGAGGTTGTGAATCTTCATCAACTGAGATGGTTGGGCCACGTATTGCGTATGTATGAACACCGATTACTATGACGTGCAATGCTGGCTAGTGATGGTGACGAAAGGAAGAAAGTTAGGGGTGGCAAAACCATACCGTGGCATCAGTCCTTGAAGTCACTAACTTCTAGTGTGATTCATATTGATAGATTCAGACTACTTGGTTTGGATCCGCATGACTATCATAACCAATGGTTGGAGACTGTGTGACACGACTCAGAATCGATCACAATGGCGTTAGTGTATACACTCTTTATGTTCCCTTAGACCGTGAGATTAATATTGCTTTATACCTTTCTTTCTACTAACCATTTCTTTTCCTTTGTATTATATCCTTAAATTCAACCTTTTTTACTACGAGTGAAGTAACTGCTTGTATGAATTCGGTGTTCATCTTGTTGTACTAATGAAGTATGACAACTTGGACCGATGCATATATATATATATATATATATATATATATATATATATATATATATATATATATATATATATGTCCGGTCCTACGTTGTAGATAACTGGACTGACTGATGTTATCTGCTTTCAACTGATATCATAAAATTACAAATATTACTGAAATGTATCACTTGACCTTTACAATCATAGTACCATTTGTTATAGCAATCAATAAGAATTAATGGCGTTAATTAGTAATAAGGAATTTAAGCGTTACAGATGAGAAATGGTCTGATTATCTATTTCAATTATATGAATATAAATGGTAATACTGAAATGACCAAGTGTAAAACTGTATTAATAATTCAATTTCATCAGTTTATCGGAAATCTTCACAGTTGAAATCACGAGTCGACCTAAGTTCATCTACCAACGGGAACCTGGATGTAGTGAACGGCCGTATGGAACTCCTCAACAGTACTCACCCACCATCCCGCGAGCAAGACTCAGACTTAGGACCCCCGGCCTCGTGTTCAAAGGCTTAACCTCTAGACCACTGAGCCCAACATCCAACGGTGTTCATACATAACTTCAGTCGGCCTATGATCTTGCGCAAACCTTCGCGTGCGCAATCGTGGTTGCGAACTGCTGAGGAGTCTCATACTGGGACGAAATGGCCGTTCAGTGCCTCCAGCTTTTCAATGGTAGTCTAGCTTAAATCGACTCGTGATTTCAACTGTGAAAATACTACAACCTCCACAAATCTTTATACGTATATCTAACATTTATCAGTTATAACCGATTTATGAATCATTTATTATTTAGAAGAAACTTAATAGTTTTTATTTGAAGTCGTATTTGTTTTTAACTTTTAATGATCTATATATAATGCTTTTTCGGTAGTTTCTGTTCAACTAGTTTTGTTTTATCGAATCTTTTGAATGTCTTAATTTGTTTTATTTCATCAATCTTACTTCATTAGTTAAACATTCAGAATAAATTGAGTGGATATTTAAAAAGTTGATAAACTTACATACTTATCTACAAAATGATTACAGTGAAGCCCTTAATCGTGAAGAGTTTCAACGACAAAGAGATTCAATTTCAAAGTCTGAATTATGTGATCTGGTTAAGTATGCACGTCGGTTACGCTGGCATAAGTCACATAGTTTGCAGTCAGAGTATCAAGAACTAAAAAATCTTATTAACGAATTAGTAAAATCTAAATATCCTAAGATTGCTATTATTCAAGAATATTTTCAGTCCTTAGAAGAGTTATGGTTTGGTGTGGAGAAATCCCAAGAAAATTTAAATAGCTGTACAGATGACGCTAGGTCGTACTCAAGATTATCGATTCCACAAAACGAACCTGAACAATATTCAATTAAATCTATCAATGCGGAGATACAAAGTAATAATATTCATTCTAAACAGTATATCCCTACTGACGCTTGCTCTTATCATCAGTCTATGTCTTCACACTCTACAACTTTAACGAGTATTCCAAACAGTTATCATTCTACGTCACAAAACTATACAACTCCTCTTATCCAAGACATGACGATAAACTTTCAAATAATGATCCACACTTAGTTGAAAAACAAACGAATAGTTCATATGATGATGAATGCTGTGATTGGACATGGCGTGAAATGACAACACATGGATTAGACCCACAACCACTTGTGTTTCCCTCCTCTGCAAATACAAATCCTAGCTATGAAAGTGTAAATGAAATAAAAACATATGATCGTACTAATACAGTTGATTTACAATTAAAAAATGAAACTGATAAATTTTCCGATGATTTTATTAATAGAATGATTAGTGAATTATCTTCAACTACTTCGTCATTTCAAAAGATTTCATCGAATATAAATGGAAATAGTTCAGAAATTTTATCTATTGAAGAAAAGAATACCTTATCTGTAGACAACAAAACCCCCTTGAATATACACAATCATGAAATAAAACTTTTACCAAACAATAATTCAGATAGTAGTAATCAATTACCGGAAGTTATTTCTCCTAATTTCAATCATAGAAATTCGGTTTTACAATTTAATAAACTTTCTATTGAAGTCCCATTATTATCAAACAATGTCGAAAGAGATTTTGAAATTAAATCTCACCCTCTGGAAATTCATTCTCATAGTGAACTAACAAATTTGACGACTGATGATACTCATAAAAACTCATGTACATCTACTTTAACTATGAATTCAAAGCCTGAATATAATGTATCGAATAGGTTAGAAGCTTCTCATAAACCTGATAAATTATGCCTTCAAATAATCAAATATCATATTCGATCATTGATCATGTTAAATTAAATCCAGCAAATATCTGTGTTAATGACAAAACATCAAAAGGACTAATTCCTAACAATAATAATAATCAAGTTCTTTTGAATACTCAAGCTGGAGATTCATTAATTGAAAATATTACTAATGAAAAAAGCGAAGATGTAATCAATAGATTCTCACCTAATACAACATTGGATTCAAATTCAAGATATGAATCTACTAGAAATAATTCTACTTTATCGAATAGACAATTACAAACTTCTTTATCAAATATAACTTCAACTACAATATATAACATTGATAAACAGTCAGAATTTCATGATGTTAACGTTAATGGTTCAATTTTCTCAACTTCAGTCAAAACAACAACAGCGACAACAATTAGCATTAATTTAACTGAGCATAAATTGAAATCTGACCAAAAGGAGATTAATACAGAGACAATGGAAAGTTGTCTACCAACTTCATTATACAGAACAGATCAATCATCGGAATCTTTATTCTCTATACCACAAACATCGTCAATACCAAATTGTCTTCATCCTACTTTTTCTACTGTGAAAAATCTCAATATGAGAAAAACATTTAACGAAATCTACCAGTGTCGTCATCTTGGTTCATCTTCCAGTTTTCATGAAGGTAACAATGTTATTGATAATAACAATAATATCAACTCAATGTGTGGTTTATGCGATCACATGAGTAATTTACATACACTTATTTCTAATCTACAATCACATTTATTATCGAATCGACAAAATCGACTATCCAATCTGTTACCTATTGATGTACAATCATTCACATTGACATCATCATCAATTTCATCTTTATCCACCTATTGGTCACCTATAATTAAAGAATATTTATCAATTCTATGTGAAATTAAATCAGAACTTGATTCGTTCCAGCCATTAGTTTCTATTACGGTGTATAAAACTATTTATTTACCAGTATATAAATCAATGATTGATTTGCTAAATTTATGGAATTGTAGATTACATGATTTTCTATGTCTACGTTCATCAAACTCCTCTAAATCTGGTGTTGATATATCACAAACACGTTGGCTTACACTATTTATCAGCCTTATACAACACAATGAAATTCAAGTGGAGCATTTGAAATCATTATTCACAGGTTTACTGCATGATATTGAAAATGAAGATAATGAGTCAATGAAAAGTGATTTAAATATTGATAATAATGATGATAAGAGTTTCTATTTATCACAAACAATCCAAGATGAAGACAATTCATCCTATATTCGAAAAGATTCAAATGCAAGGTTGAATAAATCATCTAGAAATGAATATTTAAATGACCTGAAGACTAGATTATTTTCGTGTGATTTTGATGATCAACATACTGTGCAACTGTCACTACAGCAACCGGCACCATTAAAGCCACTGATTACTTTTCCAAATGAAAAAATGAATCATTCATTCCAGACTCAAATAACGAAAATAGACAGTGTGCATAAACCATCCACTGTTGTTACTACGACTAGCATCCATGAAAAAACATATAAAGATAAAGAACAAACAGATGGAGAATTAAGTAATTTCGATCAAATGTCATTTGAACAATATTTGTGTAATCTGCCTCAGAATATTACAGGCAAAGTAGTTAGTAGTATAAGTTCAACTGATAAAACGTTTACTCAGGAAACTACTTGTACGACGAAAGTTTCTGAATTTAAACAAGATATTCCTCCAACCAATCAAATAACAACTCGAAAAGATAGAATTAAAAAGACTAGAAAACGTAAGTTAGGAGATGAAGAGTTTTCGGAGAAGTATGATAATGGTGATGTCAATCGTAAAGACACTTGCAATAATAATATTGTGAATAACAAACCTTGTGCTTTAACATACTTACCGAGAATGATAGATAACACACTTTTAGGTGATCAAATGTTAAAAAACGATATAGATATTGATGGAGTGAACCATTCTGATGAGCAACTAAACCTATCACTATATTCTAGTTCTTCAGTTCCAAACAGAACAAGGTCGTACAATGCTAGTCAAATTGTCGTACAAGAATCTGATGAAGTAAAAAATTCTGTAATTCAAAACAATAAAGTAATGCTGAGTAATAACTTATGCTGGTCTTCAAGCGACATAATCGGATGACTAGTTTAGGCAATGAATCAACAGAAACAAATGACCTGACTAACATCAATGATACAGTGAAGCATGGCGGTGATCTGGAAGCAATACTCAAATCAGATGAGATAATCAGTCACCCAAACAAATCAGATGACTCATCACCGTGCGTTACTTTACAGTTAAATAACCCAATATCAGTAACAGACTCAAATGCAGTAACTAATCAATGTGACAGACATTCTGTCGATGGTAACTTGAAAAGTTCTCATCATAATGATAAGCAAATGCCTATACGTGTTGCTTTACCAGATACAAGATTGTTGAAAGAAAATGATAGAAGTTATCCTCATATTACCTGCAATACTTCATTTAGTCCCGAAAAAACTCCACCTGTTGTCGAGGTGTGCACTGCATTAAAATCTGAACAAGATGCAGAAACAAATAAAACAAACAAGCAAATTTGTACGGATAATCCAAATAGCATACGTTTGGAATCAGCGAAATTATTAGTTAAAAGTAACACAAATCGAGATCGGAATATTGAAACTAGTAATTCTTCAAAATTTACTGAAAACACAGAAAATAACAATGATAAAGCGGAAAATGATAGTGAGGAAATAAGTGATAACATATCGAGAGACAAGCGTCATTTTCCCCCTATGGATTCTGTTCAACACGATAAATCCAATAAAGATTATGAATGTCTATCATCGAGTGTCTCTACAACGACCAAAGATGGAATTCGTTCATATCAGTTAAAAGATGATATCCCAATGTCCAAAGTTAATCCACCACAGTCGGATACAGATGCGTTTGTGAAAACAACTATCAAGATTATCAGTAATAATACTGATAATAGTGTGAGTTCACCATCTTCACTCACATCTAATTTAAATAAACCAATAAACGATCCGCATAAATTTACACCGGCTAACAAGAAGTTACGTAAAGCAAACCGGAAGGCTGCAAATAATCATCGAGTTAAACGTGTAATGACTGGCAACCTTAAAAAACCCACAGAAATAAATGGATCCCCCGAAGATTGTCCAATAAGTCAACCTGAGAGTTTCAATAACAAACAATCGAATATATCTGTACAATCTGAGCGGCGTTCCAAACTAGATAATGATTCAACGTCACATTCTCCATCTACACAAGAAATATTGACTACAGAAATCCCGACAACAATATCATTAAAACCTGGTTTCTTTGAAAAATATCAAATAAGGTCTGACCATAACAAAACTCAACCAGATTATACTGATCAGAATGAATTCGATACTTCTGATCACCAACATTGCAATTGTAGACCAAATACTGAAAGTCCTTTAGTATCTCCTACATTGATTGATTGTACAAATTTATATGATCAAACTACTGAGAGTTGTTTAACTACTCATGATCCATCAGTCATATCGATAGAAAATGAGAAAAGAAAAATTGATGCTTCAGTCAGATTGGAACTAACACACAAAAATAATGGTGATTCATATTTATTCAAAAATAAACTTGATACCAAGGAAATTGAACAATCTAAATCCCCGTTAACTGATACATCATATCAAATGGCATATTTGAATAATCCTCCCATTGATATAAAACACCATGTATATAAACAAGGGAAACAAATGAAAGAATCATCATTAAACAATCTGATGAATACTTCTAATCAATACAGTGAAATTGATTTATTGAAAAACAATTTTCTCAATCAATCAGAACATGTTTATCATCAGAGTAATGATGAGAATCTTGATAAAAATATTTATGATCATCAATATCATGATAAACATAATCGTCAACATAATCTTCCGGAGCATGGAAAACATCAACAAGTATATAAAGTAGAAAATGTTCATGTTTTACGCAAATTTCCCATGATAAATCAATATAATGATCTGAATAAAAATCATCTAACTGTAAGAGAATTAATAACGATATTCATGATCAAGTAAACTTATTACCTGATATATTCAATTCTGAAAGATTGACAAGTGACTCATTAATCACTAATAAAAACTGTTTAGAATCTAGAGGAGAACAGCAAGTGAGTTAAATTGTAATTTATTTGGATTTATTTATGTAATAATGGTGAAATTAGCAATTTAGTCTATGTTATTAATTTTTTTTTAAACACTTCACGTCTGATGTCAAATGTTTTAGGTACATGTAATTTTCATGGATTATTAATTATGAATGGATCTTAGTCTAACCATGTTGTAACGTGTGACTTGCAGGTTATGATAAGCAGCGTTTTATCGATCGATCACAGTAACACGGAAGACACGTATGGACGACCTAGTGCCCTGATTGGCCCTGCTTCGCTGTCTGTCCCAGCCAGTTGAGTCTAGAACACAAGTCACAGCCTCTGAGATATGAATCATTGTATTTCAGACATGCTCTATTTATATACCAAACAAACAAACCACATCGTACCATAAAAATAGTAAACAACATTTACACAATATGTAACGAATGAATCAAACAATAGCCAATAGGGGATGTACATTTTAAGTCCAAGGCCACCATAGACTTAACACGATAATGATTGGTATATTTTTCCGCATCCACAACAAACCACCATTGAGAACCTGGGAGAACTGGATGGACGTTTCTTCCTAGTATGAGACCCCTCGGTAATGAGCATTCATGACGCAGCATTCGAAAATCGAATCCAGGACATTTTATCTCTTGCGCGAACTCAACCCTCAGATCAATAAGCTGAAATCCAATTTTGTATATATCTATCTCCAATCCGCTATATTGGGTGACCATATTCCATTACCTGTAACGGATAAGTGTTCTACATTCGATATGGTTGAACTCCATTGGTCATGGCTTCTTACCAGAACTCTAGTAATTGTATTTTGAAAATAGCCGCTAGTGAGAACATGATTCTTATCAGTATAGGGTCGTCTAAATAAGATCAGTTCGTAATTTAAAATTATGGAAGGTTTATGATCTCCACAAAACCCTCTACTGATACATGAAATTTCTTAATTAAAATGAGATATTCGTGAGCTTAAATTTCTTCTAATGACACTGAAAGATAACAATAATTACCGATCGAAAGCAACGGAACTCAGCGATCTCTCTTCGTTTATATCCGAGTTACTGATTGATTGGTGATTTATTCAAGATGACTATGAAGTCTCGCTTCTATGTCATCATTCTAGTATTGTTTAGAGGATTATGGAGATTAATTTGTGCACTAAACGGCTATCCAACGTTCCTTAGTTTTTAATAATATGCTAACTTACGTCAATTCGTGACAACCACTTTCTACAAAATTCCAAACCAAGTTACCATCTTGTGCACATTAGTACACCTTTTGAGATAGATTCTTAAATTTCTAGTGAGCAATGTAGTTCAAATATTTCGAGAACGAGAAAATTACATAACGGTGGCTTTGGATGATGACCGCGCTATATTAGAGATTGATTAAAGTTTGAGATATGAACTTTTGTGCTGAAACCCAGCGATCTGGCAGTCAAGCAAAATGCTGGTAACTTCCAGACCCTGGGTAAGAGTAATCATAGATCCTCTCTGGTTGACGGGTTTTGGTGCTCTTTAGTCTTCAGTGAACCTCCGTCTAAGGTTAGTCCGCGATCAAAACTACTTACAAGTGAGATAGTTCCTATAATTACTCCCAATAAATGATTAAGTTTCATTCTGTTCTCTTTTACAATGGTCTCTTGAGCGTACGTTGCAAGTCATCAGTAGTGTGACCTGCATCAAAGATCATTCGATTTTTCTTCATTTTCACCAAATATCACAATATTTTGTAGGTAATGTCAATAAATATGGCTCTTGAAACTGACTTACATGGAAGGTGAGTTCATACCCTCTCAATAATTATCTTAATTTTAATTTGGCTTACTTATTTATCATCTATATTGAACGTCATATTGGCTACTTCAATGTTCACTGTTAACGTATCTAACAATTAATTGATGAAAAAAGATTAATTTCGAAACTATGAAATTCCATATAGAATGAGGTCAAATGGTGTTATTACTTGAGGCGCTAATCGATGTCACGTGCTAAATTCACCTATCAGGATTCTGACTATAATTTCCTCTATCTCAAGTTTACTATTCTGTCTATAGCCTAGCGTCCTAGAGCCAATAAATTATAAGTTTTGACCTGCTCAGTTAACTTTGAGGCAATTTGAGTGACATTCCTAATTGATCTTCCATCCGCAAAATTTTTTTCCAACCCCATACTTTGAGTTCGAAGTGAAGACAGCAGCCATCACCCACTACTTTGTATTTCAAACACACGTGGGTTTATGTACAGCACATAATAGACCTGAGCACACCGTAAATTGAAACATAAACAAACTAAAAGTGGCTCTGAACATGTGATTGGCAATAAAATAGGAATAATAAGTAGTATAATAATGATTAATGGATAGAGCGAAAGCTTACAATAAGCAGAATATAAGAACATAGTAATCCTGTTACCTAACGATTATGCAATAAGAATATACAATAGTAATGATAATTCATTAAATAGTTCAGAAAGTCACCATTTCCTCAATCTTTTTCTGATACATCAAATAGCTAATGATAAGCTAACTTATATTGTGCATATTATCAAAAATCATTTAAGAAATACTACCATATGATGAAGTGTTTTGTTTGTTTCTTTGGTGATTCATTATATTGTGATTTGTAATTACAATAATATATTTTTATTCCGAATAATACATTCCATTATGTAAGTAACGTTAAATGTACAAAACATTAAGTGGTCTAGTTGTTAAGCGCTCGCGCGCGAGACTGATATGTCCATGGTTCGAATCTCGCGGGGGGCGGGATCGTGGATGCGCACTGCTGAGGAGTCCCATACTAGAACGAAACGGCCGTCCAGTGCTTCCGGATTTTCCAGGGTGGTCTAACTTCAATTGACTCATGATTTCAACTATTGAAAACATTAAGTGTTTAAACCGAAATTTATTTAGATTCAAATACATGTGTTTATGAAGGGATAATAGCTATGAGAAAGTGATATAGAAAGAAACATAAAATAAAAAAGAAATGAACGAAATCAATGATAATCAAATAGGCATATAATAAATACTTTATAAAAGTAACATGTGTTAGATTGCGTGTATATTCGTGAATTTACGCCTAATGAAAATGATCATTATTGATGAACTCATAGATACTTGCAATCATGGGTTGATGTTCTGTTTTGAAGAATAAATAAATGGTTTCATAGATGATAAGAAATGGATTAAATTGACTGATCCTTAAGTATTAAGCAAAGTCACGTTTGTCAAGTCTGAAGAGTTGATCTAATTCCTCTGATGTTCGGTCAATAGTTCAAGTGACTTGATTAGGCGTACACTATGTTTTGATGTTAGATGGTTGGAGGCAGTTGAGAAGAAACCTCAGACTTCGGGCTAGTTGGTTCTTTTTAGGAAGGCTTGCCCGAATTGTTGACAGAAGTGATGTTCCCCGTGGGATTCGACCCAGTGTCACCAATTCTCACATTTTGAAATGTTTTCACTAAACTAGCCGAGTGATCTAAGACTGTACATCTGAGTGATCCAGGTTCATCCCTTGTTAGAAGCACCATTCTCCTCAAAATTCCGGTTACTTCATGTCGAAAAAAATGCTAACTAACCTGAAATCCCTGTCCAGAGTTCCCTCCCAACTACATCCAACCACCTAATGTCGAGAAAAAATGGATTAATGGGGAATTAGCATTCTAACTTATCGGCTTATGAATTAGATTTTTCTCTGCTTCTGATTTCTACCTATTCTACCACATGGTCTAAATAATAATATTGAACAGTCCATTTTATTATTAGACGAATTAGTACAAATCGTTTAACCATGTCACATAGAAAACTAAATTGTTTAAAAACGTATAGTTAAATTCTTAATGAACAGTAAATTTTAGCAGTCACACACCACTTAATATGAAAACATATGCGTCAGGAGAAGCAAACCCATCTGCACTATTTATTCAAGTTGTTTGGGCGATCCACTTCATCTAATAAATAAATAATTATTTATGTTTTGTTATAGCAACTTTACTAGCCACAAAATGCTTTGAACTGGACAGTTTTAGCAACCTCAAATGTTTGTTAATCAGAAAATTTACTAGTAAATAATCACTTTTTATGATAAAGTGATATCAAATGACTAGCTTTTCTCAGCCAACTGTTTTACTCTGATTTAAATCAACTGATTAGTGTAGAGATTAGCTTCCAAATATGATCGAATATATGCCCTTCAGAAATTTTCAAATTTTCCCGTTTTGTTTAACCATGTTATAACTCGTGGCCTTGTGCCCTATCAATATATAACGTAATGATACTGCCAAATAGAGAACAGTGACTTATGGACTGGACCAATGACGCATAAACCAGGACGAGTAGTTTAGAGTTTTTATCGGTTCTTCTCCCTACCTGTTGAGTCCACAACACAAATCTCAGCCTCCACCATATGAATCATTTATTACAGACATACTGGGTTCATATACAAAATAAACGGACCACATCACACCATAAAGTAGAAAATAACATTTGTACAAGATCTAACCAAAAAGTGGCTGTGATCGTGGGAGACTTTAATCAATAAATCAGGCATAACTTAAGAACGGTAAATCGTTTAGTTGTATTCTATAGGTCAAAATGAAGCTTATTATAAGAGAATTACAAATATACATAGTTTATTTACTTAACAGTTATAGAATAAAAATATATGTATAGTATTAGTCCATAAATAGATCACAATAGTTACCATTCATTATTCTCGTCGGGATATATCAAATCAATAAAGTTAGTTAATAACAAGAGTGTCCACTAGTGTTACTATATTAATAATCTGACCGTATCGATAAGAAGTTGTATCTTAGAAATGAGAACCTTACCCAAACTTCAGAATGCAATATCGAATTTCCCCACACAAAAACTCAAATGATTTTCTTCTTTTTACATCCATATCATTTGAAGAACCATTAACCTATCTCATGAAGCTTGTCAATAGTTTACTCTCGTTAAAAACTTCTAACTGAATATAATCCATATTTCCAACGATACTGCCATACGAAACAATGATCAAAACGGTTGGCTAGATATCAATGTTTGATATCTATAGACTATGGTAGTTAAACTCAATTTCTTGTTTATTTGAAAAGAACTGATTTTTCGTCATACCATACCTTCTGTATTATTCTTCATTAAACTTTTGAGATTTTTTTCCTATTTCTAGCAAAACTATTACTGTAAAGAATAAATCACAGAGAAGAAGACGATGTTGTCGATCACTACCATGTCTATTATTGTTATTACCTCTTATATTTCTTTTATTATCATTATTTTGTATATTTATTCTACCCGACTGTCCTTTATTCCTACCCTGGTTCATGTGTAATGAAAAACATCCTATTGGTGAATGGATTTACAGTCCGATTGTATTCCATGAACATAATCCACCATTTTAAAATCGATGTTTTTCTTTTTTTTAATTATTTATCTAATTCAATGATTGAACACCATAACTTTACAATGATATGTATTTTACTACCATCTTTGATGTTTATAAATCTCATTGATACTGCATTTGTTGGTTGTTTTTTTTTATACCCATACATGTACATTATTCAGGTACATGATTTATTGATTTATGCACAATTTATCATTGATCTTTTTCTTTTTTACATCTCATATTTCTCAATTGCTTTTTTAAAGAAAACAAAACACAATAACTTTACAGTCAAAGTTCGTGAATTCGATTGCACATACACGTGTATGTATGTATGTATGTTGTGTGTGTGTGTGCATTTCGACATCCCATTGTGATATACACATATCTGTACCATCCTTAATTTCAATAAAATTGTATAAAAACACTTTAATATTTCATTTTATTATTTGTCTCTTTGTCATCGATTCCCTTTTTTGTTGTTGTTGTTGTTCCAGTCCTTGAACAGAATGATGAATAGGATCATTTACTTTCTATTTATCATAATTGTTTGAGTAATATTATTTTATTATTGCATATAAAACTAGAAATATGAACGTATATATTTATATTGTTTATTGATTCATTCTTCTTTTTTTTTCTTATGTATTTAATATTTTTGAGATGTATGATATTTGAAAAAAGGATTATTTTGTATCCATGTGTTTTGGTTATATTTTTCATTGTAACATTCATATAGTTACTCTCATGTTTGATAATTACTGTTTTCTCTACCTATTTGTCTGTTGTTTTTTTTTTTTAATTTTCAGTTATGTTGTTAAGGAAACAAATTTATGTAAAGAAAAAACAAACTGGTTTCGAAACATAACTGAATAAAAGTGGCAGTGATTTTATGATTTTTTTAAAAAATTTCTCATACTCGGTGTTTTTTGTCTTGTTTTCTACTACTTGGTCATGTTTCGAAAGAATTACAAGTAGATTTATTTAATATTCTTAACTGACAGTAGATCAACAAGGATTGAAAAGGATTTTGTAAAGTGAAAAGATTTTTAAAAGATGATATACTTGTTACCTACATGAACTACTTCTACAACTTGAATAACTATGAATATGTCAGGTAGAGACACAGGTATCTACCTCAGTACAATAGAAGATGGTCACGCAATTTCGTGAATTGGTTGATGTTAGACACTATCACCATTGTACGCCGACTCAGTGGTCCAGTGGGTTAAGCGTTCGCGCGCGAAACCGAAAGCCCTGGGTTCGATTCCCCCGAGCGGGATTGTGGATGCGCACTGCTGAGGAGTCCCGAAGTAGGACGAAATGGCCGTCCAGTGCTTCCAAGTTTCCAACGGTGGTCTACCATCAATCGGCTCATGATATCGATTAAATTCAACAACCTCCACAACTCCATATTGAGAATGCTGATAAATTCGATTTTCAATCTGATAATCATAATTACAACTCATCAGTCGAAGTGCGCGAATGGGTTAAATAAGTGTGTACCTAAACCTCAACCCTCTGCCCTTTGTAATCAGATATGCTACAAGTTCGAATTATTCATTAATCGAATCATATCTCGACATACAACGTCATTACCGGAAATAAACGGAAAATGGAAATAACTAAAAAGGTCTGGCAAGCCATTGTATGAACTTTTTAATTTGGGAAACGACTACATTATTTGTCGTTTTATTTGATAGGCACTAAATAACTTAACTTTCCAAATGGTTCCCGAACAGGATTAAGGTAGTTGAGATATCTGTAAAGGTGGAAATATGTTCTAAAAAGAAAGCAATATATTGCTGTTTAATTCAGTATCATCTTAAGAAACACATTGTAAAGAAAATATTTAATAATTGAATAATACGGTCTTAAAATAGTGTGTAAACTGTTTTGCAGTTTTCAGCAGAAGGGATAGTAGACTAAGCACTTTGTTCTGTTAAGATCCTTTTTAGCGTGGAATGTACCAACGGTGAGTGAACATGATGTATGCTTTTTTAGATAATTTATGTCATTCACAACTTCGTAGGAGAAAAAAATTCCAAAGGTGAACGATCTGATTTTAGCCTTTGAACTTTTTGGAATATTCTTCGCGATTAGCGTGGGTATAAATGGAAGAAACAAATATGATACCATGATATCTTCTTAACCTACCGTAAGGGAGTGGAATTAGTTAATATTTCTTTAGTTTTTTAAATAGAGAGTTCAGAAAGCCATTTTATCATTTCAGTCTCTGATCATTAAATTCATTTCAGAATATTAAATATTTAAAACAAAGGGTCGAATTCTGAATCTAATATTTCATGTGCGACTAAATACATGTTAGTTGTAACATTCTAGAAATATCAACCACGTTCAAGAGGGTTTAACAAAGTATTTATGTCTCAGAAGTCTTTGTCTGGTCCATTATTCAATATAACTTCCGTAGGAAGTGATCAAAAGTGAGATTAGAAATTAATTCAGCATGACATTTCTTCATTGTAACGTTCGGTTTTATTCTAATGATCTCTGTCATATATTCACCTATTATCGTATTTGATTAGTGTGATATTTGTTTATGTTTGCATAAATTTAAGTAATGATCACTGTGGAAAAAAATCTGTCTACAAAAGAGTGGTATTTTCTTAATATTTACAGGTCAGGTCTCGTATTTTAGTTTTTCGTGGATAAGTGAGATCTGAATTTCTGAGGATTATATATATATAATTAATAGCAGCAATAGAATTAATAGAAAATTTCAATGTCCCGACGACACTTCCTGTCTGACCACTAGAACAAGGACGTCTGGGAGCAGTGAACAGGTGTCTGCATCCTACACCGTTCAACCACTTAGTGACTGAGTCTTCAGCAAGATCAGTCATTATCAGTCACTAATGCCATAAGAACTCTACCAACTAAAAACCCTTCTTAATCTTTGGATTGTGAAATCAGTATTTAGTGCAGTTGTGGAAAGAAGTCAGTCTACTTAGAAAAAGAACCAATGACAACAAGTGCATAGTATTTGCCGAGAAATGGACCACAATAGTCTGTATGAATTCTCTGCCAGGCCTCAGACGATATTGGCCATAGAGTACACTTCAAAGGACGGTTTTTTGACGTTTAACATCTTCAACAATAGTCACTTATCCCCGGTCACTAACTTGTGAGCCTTGCCAAGGGTTTCGTTTTCTCAGCACCCAGTTCTTCATTATCGAGATCTTCAAGATGCAGTTGACAACATATCTCGCTTTGAAAAATAGACAAGGTATATATGTTTAAGATCAGCATTCCGACGTTTTTGAATAAAACTGAGTATACATCCAAATTATCTAAGAGTTTTCCTAATCATATTTGGACGTCTCACCGGTAAAGGTTGCACTGACAGACAGTTAGCAGTGCTAACATGTTTATCTTGTAATAATGAATTCCTTTAGCACTCTTGTTCTGAACCGTGTAGTCATAAGCACTCAAGGCAATACATCGTCGTTGAACTATAGCAGCTGAGGAACGTGCTGATGATTTTCCAGGTGGCAAATTAACCTCAAAGCCTAATAATCTGTACCAATAGTGAATTTCTTTTCAAATAAATACTTATGAAATCGTCTAGCAGCCCGAAACACAGATAATGCTTTTCAATGATTTTGTGAATAACTTTTTTAGCAACACTAAGTTTGCGTGAAATACAAATTGCTGGTCTAGTTTCCTGCTCCAAAGTTCCACCAGTACCCACATGTGGTGCATCAGTAATGAGTAGAGAATATGTAGTGGGAGAGTAATTTAGAAAAAAAGCATAACTTTGAAGAAACTGTTATGGACTTTGTAGGCATAACTTTTGTTCTTCACCCCATTTGAGTTGCATGTAAAAATTTGAAAAAAACACTTATCACAGTAGGAAAAATCAAGAATAAAACGGTAACAATATCAATTATCATTCACTAGTAGATGTATTTCTATCGTAAAAAACTCCCAACTTGATAAAATCCTAACTTAGGGGTTCACTATCTCCAATGGCGAAACGAACAGTAGTTTTACAAACCGACTTGATGTGTCAAATTTTATTACACTAGAAGCATATAGCATGACGAAACGGACACGAATCACGTGAATAAACTTGATCGTATAACAAACATTTGTAGTGTGGTGTCGAGTCGTTGTTGACGATAATCACCACCACAAGAAGGTTGCGTACCAGATATCAGAAGGCGATTGAAGGTTGTAGCGAGATATATTTGTCGGCGATCTCGTGGTATAGAAAGAATACCGAGATCGTGCCAAAGGAGTACAAGCGGAATCACTTGTAGCACGTTTTCTTAGCGTTTACCTGGAGGCAGGAGCAATCTGAAACACAACACAACAGTCAGGACTGGCAGATGCCACTCAAGTGAGAACACGGCGTGCGAGCACAACAGAGATATATTAGAAATTGAAATACGCGGTTTTTGTACAAAAAGAGAAGTCTGTTACAAAATAGTTTTACTCATCATCCAGCAGGTTTAGTTTGCGCAAGCTTTGTTCTTCTTCTTCTAATACGTTCACTTTCTGTTGTCCTGCAATAAGGAAAACAAACCTGCATTAATAAAGTTACACGTAATGACTTTCGATACTGTTACACTATCCCCTCTCTTCATGAGGCACTGTCCTCAGTGCCTGGTGCTGGACATGGGTATGCTACCCCTCCTTCTGGTGGCACTTCATAATGGCTGACGGCAGTCGGGGGGTTGACAAACGGGGTATCTAAGTGCACCGTTGTCTTGTCTGGCTTTAATTGATTGTAGTGTACTGTTATAACATCGTCTTGGGGTCGTTGGAGGTTACGTAAGACGAATGTAGTGGGGGACCGCATAAACACAACTTCGTAAGGTCCTTGCCAAGGGTGATGGAACTTGCTGCATGTCCCCGGTGGAGCCAAAGGGCGGTGCAGCCACACGCGATCTCCGGGTTTATACACAGGTCCGTTCGTCTTGCGATCGTACACGTCCTTTTGGTGCTTGCTGGCATTTTGTAGGTTGATCTTCACTAAGCGATAGGCGTCGGCTA